TATGCGTTTTTTTTTTTAAAAAAGTTATCAAGCTCTTAAAAAATCACCCGATATTAAATTGTATTTAAAACTTACCAATAACCAATAATTTCCGTTTTACCGTGCCCGATGCATTATCACAAATTATGGAAGTTATTCTTTCTTTAGACATTTTTCCACCTCTGTATGTTTCACCTTTGATCTTTTGTGTTTTGTCAGGCAGCATCTTATAGAAAATTCCCGTTTCGTCCGCGTTACAAATGTTGTCCATGGAATAATTGTTACTTATTGTAGGCCAGGTTTGTATTAGCCAGTCATTTGTAACACTTTGGTCCACAGAAGCCGATTCACCACAAATTTTGCCGAAGCAAATACTATGCCTCTTTTAAATCTGTCTAGCCATCCTGAACTGCATTTAAAATTAGCACCGACAGCTTCTCCGAATTCATTGGCTTTCATCATTAGCATTGGACCACTTACTGGAAAATTATTGGCCCTTTTCTGCTGAAACCATTTAAACAGTAATTCATCAACTTGAGGATGTGTCGAAAATCTAATTTTTTTCTCTTGTCGTTGACTTTCCAATAATTTTTAATTTTTTCCCGATTAATCCATATGTTCGAAACAGTCTGTTTTTTTAGGTTTTTGTTCAAGCAAATGTCAGCTTGGGAAGTTCCTCCTTCAATTTCGCATATTATTGTATATATTTAAATGCTCGCTTTTTATTTTTTTTCCGACATTTTTCTTAAAATGAACAACTCTCAATGAAAAGCCAACGAACGTCACTGCCAGCCCACCGCAGAAGTCGTTTGCCTTCTTTGACGTATTTCCAAAAAAAAATGAACATTTTCTGCTACAGAAACTGATTGTGTCTCTTGATCGAATTCGGGGAATTACAAAATTTTGCTTATTGCCAACTGATTGCCAACTTTGTTTTGAAATTTTATTTTGAAAGCTTCAGTTATAATGGACAAAATCCGATTTTATTGTCTATTATAACCGCAGTCCATTATAACCGAGTCTATTTTAACCGAGTTTTTTACATATGTTTGAACTGGGACTTGACAAAGAGGTACATAATAACAGAGTTTCTTAAGCGAGTCCACTATAAATGGATTACACTGTAAATACAAAAATTATATTTCAAATCATAAGCATTTAATAAAAGGAATCATTTGAAAATTTCAAAAAAAAAAAATATTATAATAACAATAAAAAACACCATATCTATATATGTACATATGTAAAAGAAAGTCGTTGATTACGCACGAAATGCTTTTCGCTTCACTTTTTTTAAACTAACACAAGTTGTTTCACCCAAATGCTATAGCTGCTTAACTAATAGTTAGTTAATATAATCTAACTAATCGAAATCATATATGTATGTAGATAGTATTAGTATTACTGTCTACATATAATATGTATCAGCCACAGTAAAGCGTGGACGGGTCCTCTAGTTAATAAATAAATAGTTTTTTAGCGGAATTCATGCATTTAAATCGTTTACAAACCTACAGAATATTTTCTTTTTCAAGGAATACATTTGTAGAAAAAAGTATATTTGGCAATGACAATGGCAATAGATTTGACAGATAGTAACCCATAAACTTTAGCGTGTCGAGATTCCGAGTAAAGTAATACTGAAACTTTTAAAGAGCTGACAGTAGTACCAAGGGCCAAAAGTTATAGAAAGAAGTTTCATACTAGGGGTATTCTCTTGCTTTTGCAAAACCCTTCCACGGTACGCGAATTGTAGAATTTTAATCTTGATGCAACGTTTGTTGCACAGAAAACTATTTGCAATGGCTGTAAAATATTTCAGACCAAAACCCATGTTTATTTTCGTGTAATGACACGTAAAAATATAATTAAAATTGTGTTTTAGCTGTCATTTTACATAAAGACATATTACGCCGTTAAATGTATGCGAAATTTGCCATTGACCGTTCTGGAACGGCGGCAACAAATCTCTCCGTTTACATATATTTTTAATACAATTTCAATCTGACCGCTCCAGTCAAAACCTACCCAATCCAGTCAACTGTCACAGTTCAGTAGGTGAGTCGTTCTCACATTTCTAGTGACAAGAAAGTTGTGTACATTTATCATAGATAACTTCATTAGAATCTCTTTTCTTGCTCTCTCGCTTGTCAGCTGGCAAGGCCTGATCTGTTTTCTGAGCTGGCAACAAAACATAATCAGCTATAATTACTTGACGAAATTAGTGTGAAATGAAATTTCATTGAACTGTGCGAATATATTTTGGCAAAATAAATGTTTCTGTAAATTAATTAATGATTTTGCATTTTAGCATTTATATATGTGTATATTTCCAAAGTGTTTAATTTAGTGTTTTGTACAATTTATTAAATACCCAAGCTAAAATTTTTCACAGTGGCATCATTGGCAAATGCTATGAAAATGCGAGTTTTAACAGCTCTCTCTCTAACCAAAGAGCCTCGTATCAAGTTTCTATGACTTTATCTCTGTCTGCAACTATCGTCGTAGCAGATATAATTATCACTGGTTGGAATAGTCTAGCAAGTAAGGATAAAGGGATGCCCTACTTACTCCAGTGTGAGAGCGCATCATAATAAGCGTTTATTACGATTAAAAATTATTATATATTGGACTTTTAATATGCGAAGAAAATATATTTTTTTGTGATTTTGTGGTTTATTAAAATAACTGACTTTGGAACTTTCAAAAAATAATAGAGTCAATAAAACCTGTCAGCCCTCAAATAATAATATTTTAACTCATTTTTAATTGAAAATTAATACTACTATGCATCCGATTACCAAGTATTTCATCATATACATTTAAGTACCGCATTTTCATTAATTTTCATTGATTAACATTTTTTATTAGCAATCTTGAACGGTGGCATGAAATTCCTCAGCTCACATATAATAGGCGTGTTTAATTTGACTAGCAAATTAAGCTATTAGCTTCTTTCGAATGGAAGACTTACCGTGTTCTGTACTGAGGTATAGCCTGTAAATTTGAGATTTCAAGTTAGAGACAATTTTTGTGACTTAAGACGATTTTACTATTCTGTAAGTGACAGTCAAAAAATCTATCACATTTCATTATTCAGAGATGTTTTTACACTTGAATTTTAAGTTACAGAAAATTTTTGAGATTTGAGACGATTTTGTTCTTGCACTTCAATGAAATTTTAATATTTTGTTGAAATTGAAATTTTTAAGCAAAATATAAGTAAATAGGTAAATTTATTTGTTTTAAATTATCAGTTGTTATTATAAATGATGTAACAGAGCTATTTTATGCTTTTATTTGTAAAATAACGTCAGGTTTGTTAGAGCTTTGAGTAATTTTACATATTAGTGGCATTACCACTCTATCTCATCTCTCTATCCTCCATTCTATTGTCAACTCTACTGTCGTCCTACCAGAGAACGTATATTTATAGAGAAGGTTCACGATGTCAAAAATTTAGGGATATTTCAATTTTGGGATATTTAATGTTTTGGATGAGTGCGTTTCACCACAGAAAATTATTAGCGCGTTTCACCACTTAACATCAGGGGCACGACAATAACAGAACTGAGTAGTTTTTAGAGCCAACGGAAAAAAATATGTTAATTTCAATGTTTAGAAATGTACGCTTACAAATTCGTATATTTACAATGCGCAAACGACTGCATATAATTTATATACATACATACATACATATGTATATTTTCTATATATTTTATATCAAAGCACACAAGCATGTACGTACAAATTGAACTTTTTCATGATGAATTCCTTAACCTCTTTGGAAATATATAATAAAGTCACACATGCATTATTACCTATGTAAATCTTTAATTAATGTAGGTTTGATAAGATATATACATGCATATTTATTTACAGGTCTTTAAAAGTTTTGATAACATGTTAAAAGACCAAGCGGTCGCACATATTCACCTATGTAATTATGTGTGCATACGTATAATGTTTGTAAATTTGTCTACCCGCAACTTTGTATGTAAATGTGTACACTTATTGCTTCATGCGAAATCTTCGATTCACGGGCAACCAATGGCTGAAGCTCAAGTTTTTTCAAAGAGTCAATGTGTCGAAGGGCTGACGTGACAACAAAGCATCACAACATTGTGTTGTTGGTAGAAAATCCGAGCTRTGCCGAAAACACAAACGAACGATCGCCAATTGCCACTGCTTCCCTTGCCGCTGTAGCAGCTTCAAGAACAAACCAGCGTAAATATGTATGTTTCTGTATGAGCYTGCTACATATCGACGCAGAATTTTGCAAGCCGCGTACAAATATTTTTGACATTCCTTAACAAATACAGTCAATCCCGGTTRTGTGCCACAATCAAAGATACAGATGTTTGTGGTTTGTAAAAATAAGAATATAATATGGCACACAAACCAGTGCGAATACTTAAGTGAGTGGTACTTAAAACCATAATTAATTTCATACAACAAACCGTGAGATGCAGCATGAAATGGGCAGTTAAGAGGGATGATTTTCATTTAAGCGGAATACTGCTTAACCGGGATTCACTGTACACATAAATCAGAGGAATATTGAATATTTTATTTGGCACATTTCTTGACTTGAAAATCGAAAAATAAACTATGTTGTCAATTTTATTCTAATATAATTTGTTGGAATACTTATATTTGCGGGGTTGTCGCTTTTTCCTTCTCATACAAATATCAGAAATTGTTCAATTTGTGATTTTTAGCTTTTGCCAACGTCGAGAAAAGACGCTTGTTGGCAAAGGCATGCTCGGGGAAATGTAATGGGATTTGTTTTTATGAATGAAACAAGTTTGCCAGTTGAAAGTGCGCATGCGTTCATGAATGAAAATGTTGTTGTTTTGTGTTTTTCTACAAATTTGGGTATCGTATTGGCTGCCATATTGACTTGTGACGCTGCTTATGCAATTTGAAACCATTGTTGTTTTTGTAGAACAATATTCGTAGTTTTTGCGTGCGACATACATATCTACATGGGAAAGCATATAAGTATGTATGTTGTGTATGCATTATTTGTGTGGGAATGTCATACGCACATATATACATGTGTACGCATATAAGTATGTTGGTTTGTGTATGCATTAATTGTCCGGCAATGGCGTACACATATGAATATGGATGTATGTATGTACATATAGCAGCAGTGCGCGCACACTTTTTACTGATAAATGATAATATCACGATTTGAGTTTGAATTGTACTTACATATGTATGTATGTAACTATGTGCTGATATGTAGATACGTATGAAAATTGA